AACCAGCAGACGGACAACAGGGTACCCAAGAGACATCGGCTATCCTCCTATTTGCAGAAGCTTCATTTTATTCAAAGCAGAATGTCTAATAAGTTTACGGCTGTCCCTTTGATAAGTTCATATCTCAGAAGGTAGAGATCCATCCATAATACATTCAAGCAAAAGGAATACTGAATAATGTCAAGTCATATATCCTGGACTTAAGGAAAAAAAATATATTTAAAAATTTAGAAACTGTCCTTTTCCTTTTTCTTTCCTTTCCTTCCCTTGAGACAGCCATGAATGGCAGGACCAGCAAGGACAGAGTCAAAGAGGCAGCTGGGGCTGAGGAGGTGGACAGGACTACAGGGTCAGGGCCAAGGAGGCTAGCAAGGATGGGACCAAGGTAGTGGTCAGAGCTGAGCAGCCCAAGAGAGCCAGCGGTGCTAAGACCAAGGAGGCAGCTGGGTGAAAAAGATAGTTGACAAGGTCAGGAGACCAGGTACATACAGGGGAAATAAACAAAATATTAGGAATGATGGGAGGCATATATTTTTTATGCTTCAAAGGTCTATGCAGGGGCACCAGGTGCCACTGCAGCTCATATACATTGTCACTTATCTGCTGCTTCACTTTGTTAGCATGGAGCAGCAGCTAGGTCCATAGCAGCCCCAGGTCCCACTGGCTCTTCTTTCAGCTTCTCTGACTCTTGGGCCAGGTACATGTTTAATTTCTCCTGCAGGACACCAGTATCATCAAAGTTGGAGGCCTAGATTGAGAAGGTAGGAGTCTGGTTCCCGTCCACCCTCATGAGCTCCAGCTTGTGCTTGCTCTTTCCCACTTCATGTCTATTGTCACTTCTGATTGTCTTTCTCATCTGTGAAATGAAGATAACCATGTGCCCCAGGGTTGCTGCGAGATTAAAATCAATACGAGTGAAGAGTAATGTGTAAACCATAAAGTAAATAACAAGTTTTGAGGTTTTTTTCCTTTCTTTTATTCTTTTTTTAGGAGAATAAGATGCCCTCCTAAAGAGCAGTCTACGCCTGTGCCCTGTGCTTGCTCAAAAGCTGTAATTATCACTCGTGACTTTGGAGATCACAGGATCCAAACAAATTAGTCAGCAACTGGCCAGTATTGTGTCAACATATGGTCACAGGAAAAGTTGGTAATCCAAGCAATGAGATTCGTGTCCAGCTCAGCATAGTGCATCTGAGAGGCAGGGCCACCACAACACAGAACACAATCTGGGTATTTTCAAAAGGAATCCTATTATCCCTTTCTTAAACTAGCTTCCAAACCATCTGACCCATTCATTCTCTAGCTCAGTTTCCATTTAGTTTTTCATGGGTTCCTCTGTTTATCCTCTAGTGTATGTTCTTGACTTATCTCCTGTGCTAGATGCATGTGCCCATCTCTCCTGGTTCTGACTACAGCTTCATCTTTTCCTGTTGGGTCACACTTAAGGAAATATCCCTCCCAAATCAGCCTGAGCCTCTAGAAACCCAGATATTACACGACACCCTTAGATAATTCCTACCTGTGGGCAAGGCCCAACATATAATCCTTAAATTATTCCTAGCCAGTTCCTAGTGGTGAACTGTGGCCATTCTAAACAATGTCTAAAGGATTTGAGGATTTTGCTTTGTCTGTGTATGTGTGTTTAATTTTAATGGCCTCTGAGCATTTCTAAGTCTATTAGAAATTTGGAAAGAGAAAAAATCAATTGCACATGGGCCTTTGGAAGTCTGGCTAGTTTAGCAGAGGCTGCAAGCCACAGTTTGATTATAAACATCTCTCCCTACACTGTCATCTCAAGGTCAACATCTCCCAACTCAAGCTCACATGCAGTAAAGAAGGAAAACAATTTTAGCATTGAAATAACATTGAATTCCATATCCCTTTGAGAAAGACATGGATTTCCATGATGGGGAAATTAGTTCAAGTCAAAACTGAGTATGTTAAAGCATAGACAGGCACCTGGAATAAAGGGGTAGTGGCATCCTCCTAAGTCCTCTGCTGGGGGCATATGTCATCTTTGCCTCCATTCATACAATCTAAGTGCAGTGCCACATTCAATAAGAACTACATCTTCTAAAGGGTTAAGAGAAACATTTGCTTAAGGTCTTAGACCAACAAAAGCACAAACTCAGAAGGAATAAGGGCAAGGATTTTGATCCCTAACATTAAAGATTAGTGCCAAGAGAATTCAGCTGGAAATTTGGCTGAGGTCAGATGGCTGGATCCAGAGAATAAATCAAGTGACATTATTCTAGGAGACTCTAGAATCCCACAAATTTCTGTTCAAAGTTTTTTTTTTTTTAATTTATTCCAGAAGCAAACAGGGAAACCCTTTGGAGATGACAGAATTACAAAATGTATTCATTCATTCGTTCAACATAGATTTATTGAGTGCAAATGTAACATATAAATTATAGAAAGTAATGCAAGTAAGTCAGTAGAGAAGTTATTCTAAATAAAGAGGTAAGATTAACCATGCATAATTTTTACAAAAACAATGTAATCATTATTTTTCAGGGGGAAAAATTAAATATATACATAAAGAGCAATGCATGTACTAGGATTAGCAAATTATTCTTTGTGTTTTCTAAGATTCTCTAGGAAATTAACTTATTCAAAACATACTGAAAAAATAAGAGGGGGAGAAAAGACAGGCAGAGGCAGAGAAAAAGGAACATGGGTACAGAGAAAAGAAGAGTCTATAGATTGAGGAGGGTGTCGTGTACAGGAAAGATAAAAATTATATTGAGCCTTTAAGATTGGTAAGAACTGCATTTCATAAAAGAGGAAAGTTCCAGTCAGAAAAGGACAACAATATTTAGGATTAAAGGCCTAGAGGCAAGACCAAGATGCAATTCATAAGTGGAATGGTTCAGCCAAGACAACACATATCCACATGAGCATGTATGGGTTCAACATGGAGTCAGGACAGAACAGAGAGAGGGCCAAATGAGTAAAAACTTAACATCTGTGTTAAGGAGTTTAGGCAATGAGGTAATGGTGAAGCTCTAAAGGGTTTTGAACTAAGAAGTGACACCATGAAATGACAGCTTTAAGATCATTTGACAGTAAATATCCTCAGTGTCTATTAAGGCTTCTTTGCCTTTGATTCTTCCCAAATCTAATTATATAGTTTGGATTTTTACAGGTTCTTTAGATGCCTTGCCATATCAACAAACACCTTCATTAAATAAACATTTCATTAACTATGTAATACGCACAAAGTATTTAACAAGGCCATTGGTAATCTGGGTTTATCTAATCTACAAACTCAGCATGATATATCTCACTCATCACTATGCACATCATTTTCAAGAAACACATCAATAGTTCTCTGGACATGTAATCCTCTCTCACTCATCCCTACCTCTGTACCTGCTGTTTTGTCTGCCTAGAAGTCTTTCTGACTGCTTGTCTATCTAGGAAATTTCTATTTATTCTCTAACTTTTATGTGGTTGTCATCTCCTTGGTAAAGCCACCTCTGACTTCTGTCTTTTCTCGTCTTCCTCGACCTAAGTACACCTCCAACAGCACAATCATACTCTTATCTGGATCAGCTTTTTCTTACTTGTTTCTACTACTACTTTGTCAGCTCCTTGAGGATGGAACCATGTTGTGTTTATTTCTGTGTTCCTAAGGCTCAGTCTCAGAGCCTAGAGGAGGTGGAAGAGGAGGGAGAAGGAGAAATAACAAAATAGCTAACATTTGTAAGCATCTCCATTAGCAAGTATTGTTCTTTGCACATTATACAGATTATTCCTTTAAGGGAGGTATTCCTATTATGCCTATTTCACAGTAAAACTAAGATGACTGTCACAAATCATGTAAGGAAAGAAGCCCGAGATCCTAATCCAGGAAGTTTGGCTACCCTACGGTCTATTGCCTTTCTGGCGTGGGGGTTTGTAAACTCTTTCCGCAAAGAGTAAGACAGTAAATATTTTAAGTCTTTTTATGGGCTATTCAGTCTCTGTCACAACTAATTAACTGTACTGCTGGTGTGCAAAAGCAGCCACAGCCAATCATGGCAACGTTCCAGCAAAAGTTTATTTTACAAAAACAGGTGGCAAGTTTGATAAGCTTATAGGCTATTTTGCTCATCCCAGTTCTAGAGACTCAATAAATGTTCATCAAATTAAATAGGATCTAACAGTGTTGGAAACCAAAACCTTCTCCCTGCCCTCAAATGATTCCTTCATCTTATTCTAAAGCTGTCAGTAGTTGCAGCCTTTAAGACATTACTTGGCAGGCAAATCCAATGCAGGCACTCGATAATGAACTGTAGAGCTAAACTGAATGTGATAAATGGGGCTCTGAGGCTGATCTCTGTGCTAAGCTCCTGCCCTCCCAACTCTACCTAAAGAGACTATTGGATCCTAGCTAGATGTCTCTGGCCCCAGCACTGAGTTCCCACAAGTAGACAACTTTTACTTCTAAGAAGAAAAGCAACTCCAAGGCTCCATCCTGTACCTCCAAACTTTACCTGGCCTCCATCTCTGGTATCTGATGATACTAGTATAAAAACAAAATTACTTGAAAGCAGCAGGCAAATAGAAAAAGCTTCCACCTGAGCAATGTTTCAACCTGAGCAACGAAGACTCCCTGGTGTCCCAGAGTGCTGTTCTACGACAATTATAAGCACTTCTCGAATCTAGATTTTTTTATATAAGTAGTAAAATCATCAGAAACATGGGTAAGAACAAAAAGATAAAAAAGAGAAGATTATTCGATTATGAACATCTTGAGGGCAGGTACCATATATTATTCACCTTTGCCTAGCCAGAATACCTAGCATATAGCAGACCAGTAAATGTTTGTTGATGAATGAATAAATAAATTTAATGAAGCCAAGAATCTAGGTGATTAAGTTTGCCAAAACACACACATTCTCCAGATTTCCTCAAGCATGCTTCAAAATCAGTAAGATCAGAGTGGAAGTTGGAAACCTTCCAGTTGTGAGTGAGGAAGCAATCTATGCCCTTCCTTTCTCCAGCAGACTCACCATCTTGTGTGTTCGGACTCAGGATTTGGGTCCGGAGTTCCTGCAGGCTAATTCCCAGACACTTGCAGACCTCTTCGGGGCTATAGGGTTCAGGGTGAAGAGCATCCTCTGTGATTAACAGCATTTCTTCCAGGCTGACCCCTAGTTTGGCCTGTACCTCCTCCAGCCGCAGTACTTTATCCCATTGCAAGCTTTTGTACTTAGCCAGGAGCTGAATGAAACCAAGATGAAACCAACAAAATGGTCAGTTTTATTTCAGAAATTGATAATGTACTATTTTAATTAGCCAAATCCAACTTTAAGCTTTTATTTTTCCATTTGACCTATCCTCATTTCCCGCCATGCTTGAAAATGCACACTGGGTTCAGATGTTTGGAATTAAACATGCTTGTGTGATACTCACAGGCTAGTTAAGCATTTTTCTTAAAAAAACAAACAAACAAACAAACAACTCATCCACTGATTTTTTTTGCCTGTCACTACTTTCCCTCAGGGCTATTTCTTTGAATAATTTTGTTCTTTCATCCCCATTCAGTTTATTCCTAATACACCACTGTCTATAATGTCTACAAAACACTATTCAAATCTCACATGACCTGGGTCCTGAGGTGGACACTGTATGCCCAATTTCATTAGAGCACTTCCTGTTTACTACATGCCTCTTTGAAATGGCTAATGAATTTAAGTATCTGGGCCTTTGGAGTAAAGTCCCAGATTTTAAATGAAACCCTCTTTGGCGACCTTATGAAAAATCATTTCATTAGGTTGCTAGTGGTAGTAGAGCTGTATGTTTCTCCACCATCAAGAAAAAAGTTTGGCTTCCAATTGCATCCAGAAGCATGCTCTCAATCTTTTGGAAGGGGTTAAGTAGAAATCAAACCTTTGTAAACAGGTCTACTCATGAGAACCCCAATTCAGAATATGTTTCCCTCATTCTCCCCAGGCCACTGACTAAGCCCTTCAGAGCAGGTGACAGTCAAAACAGTGAAGCTCTCTCTCATCTTGAGGTCAAAACAGTGAAGGTATCTCTCATCCTGAGGTCTATACAGTTCAGTCCCCGAGTGGGAGGATGACAGCAGGTGCAGACAGTGCAAACAGCAAAAAGAAGCAGGCAAAAGAAGGGGAAATCAGTCTTCGAGAAAATGTGCATCTGATTTATTCTTCTATTATGCTGATGATGTGATTTTCTTTCTTTTCAACAGGAAGCAGGGTTTACCAAAAGAGCATTGTACTCTGGTTAGGGCCACTCACTTCTGAAGAATGTTAATAACAGACATTCTTATATTCATTAGTCTTCTTTTTAAACTTCTGCCTCATACATTTGAAAGAATTAATGATTTTAAGGCAGAACTGGGAAAAGAGACAATAGAATTATATTTTTTCTGTTCAATTATTTCACAGAACATGGCGCCATTTTTAAAGCAAAGACACAAACTAAAACCTTCTGACTGTTTTCTTAGCACGTTTAGTTAGTGTTTACTAGCGGTGTTGGATTTGATACCTTTACAGATTGACCCATTCATTCATTCATTCATTTAATTTATTCATTCATGTTCTATATTTCAATATATTCCAAAAATATAATTTGAGAAAACTTATAAAGACATACATACAGCAAAAGGAAAACATAACGATATATTTATTTTATACAGAAAAAGAGCTGAAGTTTATGATCTCCTAGAATGATGCTTTCTTGAAATGCAGATCCAAATCCAACTGAGATAAGCAATGAAGCTTACATGGTGCTATATGGTTTTAACTGTGCTTGTAAAATTTTTTTAATCTTTGACAACTCTGTGAGCTAGGTACTACCACTTTATTTAAAAGATGAGAGTAAATGACTTGCCCAAAAAATTGGTTGGAAATTGAATCTAGGTCCTATAATTCTTTCTTGCTTCCTCAAGGTCATGTTCTCAATGAGATTTGGCTGATATCTATGTCATGCTACTCCTATTAGTCCAAATCACCACTCATCTTATAAATGGTTTTCTAGGCATAAACTAAGATTTGTGTTAGAACATTCCAGTGATTTAAAAACACTTTGACAGGGGAGTTCCTTCTGTAAAGAAGAAAAGAAGAAAGAGAAGGAGGAGGAGGAGGAAAAGAAGGAGAAAACGAAAAACATCAAAAAATGGCCCCCAAGTGATGACAGTGGACTCTCCCTAAGAACCTTTCAGTCAAGAATGATCTCCAAGTTCCCATCCCTGGCCTCACGTAAACAAGTCACATTGCCTGAGATACCTCATCCCAGGAAACTTGCCCAGGGATGTGCAGGGAGAAAGTCTGCACGGGATGCCTGCTGCCTACAAGGTTATTTTCCAAAGCAGCTTCCCTATGTGCTTTTCTTCCACAGAGAGAGGCACTAACATCCAGGGGTTCACATTCACTCCAACAATGTCCCAGTTTGCTGTTGGGTCCACTTAGCCCTCAGCCAGAAGGTCCACACAGCTAATTTCATGTGTATTTTAATTAAGAATGAAATCTACCACATGCCCTCAACAACAGCTGCAAAGCCGTGAACCACTGAGTATGTGCACTACATTGTGGGAGTAAAATAGGAAAGCCTCTTAAGCCCTTTGAGATTTGGCTCAGGAAACAGAAAGATGACTTGCAGATGAGGGAAGTGGGTGAGTAAGATCGCTGTTGCTCAAAGACAGAACTTCGTGAGGGAATTTGCTACTTACAGCCCTGTTGACTGGCCTATGTCACATTTGTGAAGCAGTGCTATGAGTCAGGCCTATTTTGTCACAAGTTCCTCAGGAGCAGAATGGGAAAACGAAAGAAAGCAATTCTTTGTCAACATTCACCATTTTCTATTTTACCACTACAAAAATTGAGCGTTCATATCAGATACCACTTCTGGGAGGTTCCTGAGCCTGTTTCGTGCTCTGTGGACAAGAAAACAGGCAACAAATGTTTGGTCCACAGTCATGGAAAGAGGCAGATAAATAGTGCTAGCACCCTGTCTTAACTTGGTTTCTCCTGGAAGCAGACCCTGAGACAAGTACTGGTGGGATCAGGTGATACCAAGAAGCACTGGTAGAGAAGTGGGAAGTGAGATAGGAAGAGAAACCAATATGAGATGCACTGATACGGGCAGGTGGAGTTGGGTCTGCTGGACCCTTAGGACCTTTATGTATAAACTTCAGATGTGTCCTACTCATGGGCAAGAAAGCTGGAATTTTTACCCACTAACTCTCATCCATCATTGGTTGAGGGCTAATTCCAGGGGGTATTAATTAGCTTACTACCACTTCCAGGTTGTCCCACATGCAAACTGCAGGCACTCTCCTGCAGTTAGAAAAATCTCTCAGTCGGAGAGTCACTGGGACTTCCAGTAAGAGAGTATGGTAGGAAAAGGCTAAGAAAAGAGCCCTAACTGAGGAGCCCGTCTGTCAGATTCACCTCTCTGACTTTCTCATTGTATTTAGCAGTACTAACAAATCATGGAAAAAAATACCAAATCGGCTCCTCACCAGGTCAACAAAGGGTAAAATTTCTAATCCTTCTGAGTTACCCTCTAAAAACAATTCTTTCAACAAGTTGTTTTCCACACAACAAAAGCAGCTGTGTTGTTGTTCCTGGTTATTTAAATCACACATGCTTTAACAAAAAAGAAAAAAAAAACTGTAAAAAACACATAGTTTGAAATACAAAAAATAATACGAAGTAAAATAAATCATCTGTGATCACCCCAATGAGATAACTGCCAAATGCCATTTTGATAACCATCCTACTACGCATTTCTTTACACATACTTTATGCATACCTACAAACATATGGTTTGAAATAAATGGGATCATACTAGCTGTGTTTATTGTGCGTATTTTTTTTTTTTTTTGCTTATCTCCCCCTCACCCCCTTCCAAGTACAAAGAGCCATTCCCCAATGACCTTCACATCCATGTTTCACTCCTAACAACCATCATTCACCACCTTAAACTTCCCCAGGGTTAGTCATCCCCACTGTCCATGTTCTCCACATTAGTTTGTAGGCCACAGAAGAAATCTAAAGAAATCTACACAACTCTGCATTATGGATCCCATCACTATATCCTTGGCACAGCCTATCTGTAGCATCCCCAAGCACCCTGCTCTATATCTCATTCATGCTAAACTCCTAAGGAAAAGACCAGGGGCAAAGGCAGATCTGGACTCCTATGCTTACTTAACACAAGTCACAACCCACCTTGGCTGGAAATTCCCAGTATATAAAGTGAGACACTTAATGGCTACTTCACAAGCTACTGTGAAAGGTTAAATAAGATAATAAAACACCTAGCACCTTGCATGGCCCAGAAGAAGCATTCTGTGAGGGTCAAGTTTCCTACCTTTCCCACATTCCTCTGCCTCTCTAGCTAGTTCTCCCTTACCTGATACCTTTTCCTATGCCTTCAAACACATACAGATATTCCTGTTTTAAAATTCCTTATTCCTCAAGCTACTGTTCTTCATTTCTCCCTCGCTTTCACTGTCCAACTAGATAGAACCAGTTGTCCATAGTCACCACTTCCAGGCTCTCAGTAGCCACTTTAACTATTGCATACAGCCTCCCGAAGGGCATTCCTCATCTCCAAATGCACTGATTTTTCTCAGTTCTTTTATCCCTTAACAAATCAGTGGTTTCCAGCACTCTTCACTACCTACCTTCTTAATATTCCCTGTTTTATTGGCTTCTGAAGCACTGAATTCTCCTGGTTTCCCCTTCTCCTCTTGGTTCTTATACCATTTTTATCCATGACTCACGTTTCTCCTTTTGTTATTTAATTAAAGCCATCTCCCAAGTTCAACCCCCTGGCCTTATGATCTTCACTTGCCACAGCAAACTGAACTCAGTTCTTTGTTTCAACTATTATCTCAAAACAAATACATCTGAAGGCTATAGCCTTAGCCAAGAGATACATTCCAAGCTCAAATTTCTAACCATATATAAGAAGATGCCATGGGGGAATTTCATCACCTCTCACTTTCCAGTCACCTTCCATCCTATCTTCATCAAACCTATTAGTGGCCACAGTATGCTTTTCACCCATCCCTTCAGCTTAAAACTTCAGCTTTCATCAACTCCACACTTTGCCTTCAGTCACACACACCTGTGAGCCCTGGGTGTTACTGAGTACCTACTACTTCACAGGCCTTAGGCAGAAAGCAGTGACAAGGCACACAACGTTCACAGCATGAGGCTCACAGTCTACTTAAGGAGACATTTAAATAATAATTGCACAGTGAAGAATTTAATCCAACTGTGATAAGCTGCTATAATGGAAAAATACAGGATGTGGTAAGAGCATATAAAAGGACATTCAACATAATGGAAGTGGGAAAGGTTGTCAGGGGAAACTTCCTCAAAGTAATGACATTTATGCCAATAGGAATACAGAAACTCAATCACCGAGAGCCTTATACCCGACCCTTTAGTAGTCCAGTCATAGCTTTTCTTATCTCCCTCCCTTTTTAGCCCATCCTCACAGACACTTTAAGACCTACTTGTCTTCAATCAAGGCAAAAGTTCCTGCTGCCAGATTAATATTTCTAAAATATCTTGCTAACATTTGTGGCTCTCAGTGCTTCCAGGACGAAGCCTGAGTGATCCTTAGCACAGCACTGAAGGCCCTGCCACGATCTGGTCCCACTAAACATATCAACTCTATTCCCTAATATGTATGTCCTCTGCCCTGCAGCTTAGACTCACCATTTTGAGAATACTCCACACTAGAATCTTGGCAGAGTATGCTCAACTCAATCAACAGGCTGAGTGAAACCGGCCCCATTCTCGAGTATTTGGTTCTTCTCCACTCAAATTCATGGAAACTGCCAACGCCCTGAGAATATTATGCCCACTTGTCACATTCTATCACCAGAGAATAAGTTCCATATTGACCACTAAGTGGCAAGAGCTAAAAACTGGTGTGTGATAGCTCCTGACCAAACAGGCTCTGTAAGGAATCTCACTGTAAATTTTTCCTGAAGTGTCAAAGGACCACATGAAACTCTCCTTCACTGCTTCACATGTTGCCACAAGGAACTCAGGGTATGCAAAAAGCAACAGTTAAATTTCTCTTCCTTTTTCGATTTCCCATATTTATTATCAGCATCACCCATTTTATCCCTCAATATAATTAAGGGATACTCTCTTTTACAGACATAAAACATTGCCACTGAGTACATGTAAAATATAAAAAATTTTGTACTCATTAAAGATTTCTGGCCACTTTGTTAATTTAAGAACATAAAAATGTGCTTCACTTAAAAGTATCACTTACGCAAGTAATAATATAAATCTCTATTGAGTTTGCTTTGAAATGCTTTTAATTTTAGTTCAAATGGCTCTACAAGACTCTAACTTTTAATGAATCTACATCAATAAGTTTGGAAGCTGGTAGAAAGAGAAAATGGGGAGGAAAAAGAGAGAGGAAGAGAATGAAGATTTAAGAATAGAAGACAAAGACCAAAGAGAGTTAACAGAAGGGAGGGGATATGGGGGGGTAGGGGGGAGGGGGAGGGGATGTGAAAAACTGAAAGTTAATAATACTGTGATAAGTTTGCACAGTGACAGATGATTATTAGAATTAGTGAGGTGATCACACTGTAAAGTATAAAAATGTCGAATCCCTATATTGTACACCTGAAATTAATATAACTAATGTAATATTGTATACCAACTATACTTACATAAAATTTTAAAGAAAGAAGAAACTATCAACATTAAAGCAAAACAAAGAAAAATCATCTTTATTGATTTAGTGTACTTCCCTGTACTAAGAAGATACAAAAGGCACTCATTTTCAAAAAAGGATATTGGAAAGATAGAAGGAGAGGAAAAATATGTTATTCATTGCAATATTGCCATGTGGAGCTCTATCGAATCAGTCTCATTTTTAAAACTATTCTGATTAGTTATTTCTCCACTGACCCTTTGTTTTTATTGTCTGAAGACAGAAAGCTTGTCCAAATTAAGATAAGCTTCTTTACCTTTTTACATGGGAGTTTATTTCCTGGTTTAACGATCTTATTTCCAAACAAAAATTCTATTCAATCATATGTTACCGAAAGTAGAAAAATGAAACCATATTGTAAGGAAAATATGCTTGGTAGAATTCCAGCCTATATTCCGAGGCAAAAGTACAATCTTAACATCAAGCTCTATGTGTGTAGTCCATATTAGCAATTTTTATCTTTATTTCCCTTTTGTACATAACCTCGAACTCTAGTGATTTGCAACAACATGAATGAGAAGACATTCTCCATTTTAATAGTTATTTTTCTTTCTTCCATATTTTAAAAGAGAGAAAATTTCAGAGTATTTAAAACAAAGTGTTTAATATAATTAATATAAAATAATACCAATTGTGAGGAGTATGGCGAAAAGCCATATTCAGATGCCAAATTTTGCTGGCCAAAGTATCCCTAACACAGATACGGAGTTATACAGTTACACTCAGAAGGCATCCTCAAGAACAGAAGGTTCTGCAGTGAACTAGGGTTTCAGCTACTGCTTTCAAGAAGGATACCCTTTTCATAGTTGACCCCCATCCTGACGACTTTTACTACAGAGTTTCAGCATTACAATTTTATTCCTCACTTTCTTCTTGTACCTTTGGAAGACAGTAGTCACAACGTGAAGCCATTTCACGTCTCATACTTGTTTTAGCCCATGTGTGAATCTTGTAGAAGATATCAAATTCGTGATAAAACTTTGAAAACAATGTTGTGTGTGTTTGAGGTCTCCTCAGGAAGGCAACACTTACTCATCGATCTCAAAATAAAAAGTTGACAAGAATAGACCCTCAGACAAATAAGACACTAATTTCTTCCAACTCCCAAAAAAGAAAGCTTGTCCTAAAGGAAAAAAAAAGTTCACTAAAGCCTTGATATTTAAAAGATTACTGTACTATGTCTGCTCATCTATGTATTAAGTAAATACTATGTATAGTTTAATATTAAAACATTTCTTTTACATACTTTTTAGAAATTATCTGAATGAGTAAATTCCAAATTTAAAACAATTAAATCATGATTTAAAAAAAAATGTTTGACCCCAAAATTTTCCAGGGAAAAAAGCTCTTATTTTTCTGGCTCATCATATCTCCACTCTCCTCAACTTCATTACTTTAGGGGGTGAGAGTAAAGAGTGAAGTGTTAAATCAGTTATGAGGGAGAACTATACCCTACACATCTCCATGGTAGCTAGTCCAGTGCTGGGCAAACAATATACACTTGTAAAAAATTGTGAAATTGAGCAAAATAAATGACAGGGCAAGTAACACAGAGATTAGTCACTGATTTATCCAACAAATATTTACACTGTGTCTACTTTAGCCTAAGCACTATGCCAGGCATTGAGGCTGTAAGATGGACACAGTCTTGATTCTCAGGTAAAATCGAATCAGAAGGAGACAGACAGACACTAAGTAATTGTAATATTATCATAACTGAGAAGCAAATATGAAGGGAGCCCTACCTTAGCCTAGGAAAAGAAAGTCAAGGAAAGTTCCCCTGAGAGACTTTTAGGCTAAGACTTCAAAGAGGACTGAGGGAAGAGTGTTCTGGGCATGTACAAGTCCCTGAGGTAAGAATGAGCAAGACAGCTAGAGTGTGATGGGGTGGGAGATGCTGAGAGAGGAGATCTTGCCAGGGCTCTCCAGGTTGTGATAATGACTTTTTACTTTATTCCAAAGCAACGGAAAGCTTTTGAAAAGTGGTAAGCAGGGGAATTACCTCATCAGATTTAAATTTTTAACCATGATTCTAACTGCTGTTTGAAGAATGAATGGGAGCGAGCACAGTGGCGCTCCTGACCCAGATTCCAAACCCCTAAGGCCCAGACTGAGTTCTCTTCAACTTTCCAGTCATATCATATCATGTGCCTTTCTGGATCCTCCATATTATTTAATTTTTATGTCACTTTTTAGAACACCTGATTACATACCACCCAATCACATACTAACCATTTCCTATTTCACATCCCCATAACTCTCTAATCTCTCTATTATTATGTTCTGTATCTTTTTGTATACCTTCATGCTGCTAAGTGTACAACAGGTATTCAATCAAAACTTCCTACATAGATTTGAGGCTTGACTGGCAAAGGTCTTCTAAACTGTGGAACAAAGAACTGGCAAGACTCCCTTCTGGTCTGTGTTTCTCTAGTAGACTGTACAAGTCCTTTAGGCACAGAGGGGTTACACCAAGCCTGTATTTTCAGAGTAACCAGTGATGGCCCAATACAAAAATGGAGTACCTGAGAGGACCAAAGGTTGAGGCTGCCATCACTTTTGTTGAAGAAGCAAGAAAAGCTGTGGCCACTTCTCATCAATCACCTCCAACTATCTTAATCCACCCATAGACCTAATCCATTAATATTGGGAAGAAGCATGAGAACTACACAAATTAACTAAATATCAAACTGGGTATTTATTCAGAGCCTGCTATGTACTGCTAGACATGGAAACCTGGTCCATCAGCCATATGGCAAGACCACAGGAACTTACAGAACAAAAGAAGATACCTGCTGAGATTACTAACAACTGCTTACCTGAACCTTTAATGCTTCCCCATACCACGAAAGGAGAACAGGAAAACAAAGACTTTATGCTGTACCTTGCACAAGTTAAAGACAAACCCAACCATTCATTCCATTCTTTACTCCCTATAATCAGTAATTTATCGTAGAAATTAAGAAACAGATATAAACCCAATTCCTCAATCACTCAGGGTCTCATTCTCTGACTCTGCGAGAAGACCATGCTCTGTCTATGGAGCATCATTCCCTCTTTAACAAACTTTCCTCTGTCTTTAATTGTGGCTTGCTCTTGAATTCTTTCTGTGCAGAGCCCAGGACCTTCTCTCAGCAGGCATAGGGTTTGAATCCCCACTCGGAAAGATTCGCCCCATCCGGCATCACCATGGCCTGTGCTTTACATATATAAACTGTCTTCTTCTCCCCAGTACCACCCTAGAAGACTCAACTTTTAAATTCTTATAGCTTCTCAATAGCTAGAGGTTGCAGGGCACACTATAGGCTTATGTATCTCCTGAGTTTAGAATCAGATGGCTCTGTACCCAAAGAGCAGTTTGAATGTTGCTGCAGTCAGAACATTTCCCTAAATTTTGGGCAAAGAGACAAAGTAATAGGGAACAAAGCAAAAAAGGACAAGAGAAAGCCTACTTCAAGTTTCACTAGTTTGCCAAGTTCATACCTTTGCAGCCAGCCGGCACTCCATCACCCTGATGTTGAAATGGGAAGTTGCTGCCTTATTCATTTCCACACAACTGTTGGCAATCACAAACACTGCTTCACTTGGGAGTTTCACATCCGTTGCCCTCAGAGGACTAAATTCTATCAACTTGGCCTATTGGAAGAAAAATGACAGGTGAGATATGATGTATTAGAATTCAGAAAATGTTTAATCATCTAAGCATTTATTTATCTTAATAAAATTTTTCCCCAAAATGCAATCATTCATTCATTCATTTAAATATTATTTATTGATTTCCAGGACTGTACTAGGCACTGAAGATATAACAGTGAACAAGACAGACACTCTCCCTGCCCTCATAGAGCTTACAATCCAGTGGGAAAGGCAGTCAAGTAGACAAATACATCTTTGGGTTGTATGACTATGGTAGCAAAACACAGGGTGCTATACAGACACATCGTTGGAGCACCTGATTAGATAGAGCCTAGTGTAGGCTCCTTTGAAAAAACAGAAATCTAAACTGAATCTTAATGGATAAGCAAAAGTAGGGTAACCAGAGGGTTACCCTACTAGGGTAACCCAAATAGGATGTCAAGAAAAGGGGAGAGCATATATAAGTTGAGAGGCAAAAACATTATGAGGTATTAACAGAACTCTGGGTGTTGAAATGTGCTGGAGCTTAGAGTTTGAGGGGTTAGGAGTAGTGAAAGGGTGGGTAGGAGAGGTAAACCAGGGGTTGGATTATGAAGTGCTTCGCAAGCCCAGAGAATCTGGACTTTGTTCACTCTATATCTAACTTACAGTAACATCAAGACTCTTTGCTATCATGTCTGCTTGTCAGGTCTCCTCCAAAATACTCAGAGTATATTCTTAGCATTAAACCAAATTTCCTCATGCCTCATGTCTTTGGCTTAGGGGAATCAACAACAAATATTCTTAATAAGAAGAAATTCAGGTATTCTGGGAAAATAGCCAAGCCTGCAGGAATCTGATGAAAAACTAAGAAAAGATTTTAGAGAAATGTCTGCTTCTACTTTGGAAATGAGCAGTTTATGGCCAACAATCCAAACCTCTGCTCTGCCTAAGGGAGCTGATAGCCAAGGGGAAGTGGTATCCAGCTAAGGAATTCATTCCTGGCTTACTGTCAACATTCTTCCCCCCACCACTGAAGCCCCAAAAATGTTGACAGAGAAAAATGATACCAAAGAGTAAATTATAAAAAGAGGGGTTGTGAATATGTGTGGTAAGAAAACTAACATTTGGGTTTAAAACCAACACGAGATTATGAAAATGTCATGAGATGAAGTGACTTGGGACAAGAGCAGGAAAGGAGGTCTCAATATAACTTGGGGGCTGAAAATTCTCATCCTAAAAATGAATATAAAGGGGAAAAAAAACCTAGACACAAGAGAAAAAAAGCTTGAGGTATGATTTTGACAGCTTAAGGGAGAGGTGATCAACAGGAAACAGAGGTGAACTGGTGGTAGCTTTGAATTACAAAGGAGTTGAGAAATACCACAGGAAAATAGAGCCTAATAGAATAGCCTGCAGGAAACGAAGCATTTTGGGAACCTCCTAGCCTTCTTCTCTGTGTGAACTTTTACTAGTTAATATTTCTAAATAGTTCGATGCCACCTACCGTTCCTTCTTCTGCAAGAAATGATATGGACTGGTCCATCCCTCCTCCTTCGGTGCCAATATAACGCTCACTCTTGGCGCAGATTTCTGCAAGTTCCACCTGGAAAAGTAAAAATTGATTTGCACTGTGAGTACAGTCATAGTCTATTTGTCATTCATTCTCCAGGCATGACAGGTTTGAATTCTAGTACAAACTATGACAAATTGATAGTAGTTGCCTAGAGCACTGTGTTAGCAAGACTTCCAAGACTACCATTCTGCTCAATAGGAAAACATACCAAGATCGATTAATGCCTGCTATGTGATGGAATGAGATATGGACTGATTTCTGCAGCCTAATAATAATAATAGCAGCTAACACATTGAATCAGACACTGTTCTAATTACTTTGCATGTACTATCAAATTTCAAATCCATGAGGGAGGTTTTTATTACTAACTGCATTTTATAATGAATAAACTGTAGCATAGAGAGGTTAAATAAATTGCCCAGGATCCTTCAGCAGATAAGTGGCAGAGGCAGGATTTGAACTCAAGAGTCTTGGCTCTATGCTTTTACCATAATATTATTCTTTATTCCCAAGAGGAGCAGAGTTTTGGGGATGTACCAGGAAACCAAAATTCAGGAACCCCAAAAGCCTTCTTTGAATATTTTTATATCTCATTAGCACAATTAATTCAATCCCTTTTATGTTTAAATTCTAAAAAAAGAAGAAAGAAAGGAAGGAAGGAAGGAAGGAAGGAAAAGGCAGCAAACACATATTATTGGGATGAGGATGGAAGTGAGAGAGAATTGCCTGATTTTAAAAAGGGAGAGAAAGGAAAAAAAAAAAAAAAAAAAAGAGTTGGAAGACAGCAGGAGGCAGGCCTGGCCAGATTAATGAAATCAGACAAGTATATGACCCAAGTCACTGCTACTAAATACCAAAGGGGCCTCCAACACCTGTGGTAAAGGCTGGTGTTGCTCCCTTGGCTGGCAAATCATTTATTTTGGCTCTAACTTTTAAAAAACGTTAGATAATGATGATAATAATGGATGGGCAACAGGCCTACGATCTCTGTGGTTTGGCAAGTGTGTCCTGGAACTGCAAGTCCCTTCCCGTGGTCAGAGGGACACAACTACTCCCTGAGAGAGAGGTCTTCATATAGAGTTTTGAGCACCACAGTCCTGCTTCCACCCTGACCCCTCCCCTCACCCCATGTCCTAACTGCAGGAAATCTGACTATTAACCAATTTGGACTCTCAGGAAGAGGGTAAAGAAGAGGGGGCCATTAGATAATTAACTCCAGCATAATCATAATTGTTCAAATTAACAACTGTTAATTTTGTCAATATGATTCTAATTGTACAGAAATGAACTCAAACCAAAGGAAAAAAAAAAATAACTCCCATGAATCATGATCTAAATCAACCAAATCCAACTCAGTGTACATGTTTGCCTAAGAAAAGGGGTTTTATACAATATTCAACTCACGAAGATTTTGACTTGAAGTGGAAAGAATATTTAGGGTCAGGAAATAGAAGAGAGTGTTAAAAGAGTTGTTACAAGGCAAATAAATTGATTTTACTGAGTTATGCTCAAATATTATGCCAAGAGCATCTACTGAAGGTCACTGTAAGAAATAGTCACATGAACGTCAGTTTGCATTTGTTTTCAGGCTTCTGGAAAAATCATTTTCATTATGTTTTGTGTGCTGTAAAGAATCTATGTGAGAAATGCTCTTTAGAACTTAGTACTCCCATAGAAAACATTGCCTTTTCTGAAGAACTGGAATAATTTCTCTATTCTGATCACAAGACCTATATAACTTACTATGTTTTCCTTTTCACTTTGGTTTCCAGAAATCTCAGTAAATAAAATTAAACAAAACAATTATGTCAAATAGTTAACAGCTGGTGTGTTTTTATTCTTCTTTCCTTTGCCCTGATTCTCTATTTCTAATTTACTAATCTTACTGAATAAATATTCTTGGTCATATAATTTCTAGAATTTTTCTCAAAAGGAAGTAAATATGCACTTGGTACAAGTAAAAAGAAAAAATGAGACATGACAGGGGTCAGGTGGAATACTCATGTTAAAAGGAACAATGATAAACACAAATACATTCTAAGAAGCAGGGCAAGGAGGTCCAGTAACCATATGCTAGAAGGAATAGTTAAAAGAATAGTGGAGATGTGCCTGACCTGTCAGGTAATGTTACAAAACACATCCACTTTACACAGTGCCACCACATGGAACAAGAGATGTGAACACTGTCTACCGGGAGGTGGTAGGAGAGAAGAGGAGGAAAAGACAATGATCTCCAAGACATACCAGTAAGGGTGGGCCCTGGTTGCTTTGCAAGGAGGACAGCGGGCTCTCTGCTATTAGACCAAACTGTAGTCTGCAACATCAGCCGCTGCCCTGACCAGCTGAGCCTTGGATGGCAGCTCTGCTTACTTTCCCTCTTCACTTCGTGAGTCTTTCTTTTGACTTATTTGGGGAGGATATATTACTTATTTCTACAGCTGAAGTTTCAGCTCTTCAAAGCATTCTGGAATATTCTATGCTTTTATTGTTAATAATAAACTGGTAATGGTAAGTAACGAGATTTCCTGAGTTTTGTGAGACATGCTAGCAAATTATTGAAACTGGGGAGGGGATTGTGGGAACCCCTGAATTTATAGCTGGTTAGTAAGAAGTACAGGTGACAGTCTGGGACTTGCAACTGACATATGAAGTGAGGCCAGTCTGGCAGGACTGAGTTCTTAACATGGATCTGATGCTAACTCCAGGTAGTGTCAGAAATGAATTGAATTGAATTGACTGAACTGAACTGAACTGAACTGAACTGTAGGACACCCAGTTTGTATGTGGAGAGTAGAATTGGTTGGTGTCAGCAGAAACCACACATTTGGTGTCAGAAGTGTTGTAAGAAAAATAGTTTATACCCCTCTTCCCCCAAGGTCCCAATCAACACTCTAAGTTCCCTGAAGCTACCACATTATTTACGAAACTCAGTGTAATGAAACTTTATGAGATGTATGTCAAGCCATCCCCTCCCCATCTCTATCATTTTGGGGGGACACTGCCCCCTTTCCCCTCCTTTTCACTCCTCCTGTTCTACTCTCCTACCACAATGTTATAGCAATATAGCTCTTGAATGCCAGATTCACACGCTGTAATACCTCATCTCCAACTCACTCATACAAATACCAACCCACCCAGCCCACCACAGTTCACAGATCTAGGGGTGCATGCACCTTACTAAGGGAAAACTAACCAGAGTCCCTTTTAGATTCCTTTCTCCAA